TTTATGTTCAAATTTCAGTGGGAACCAAAACGATGAAGATGTAGAAGTATGCATCGATTGACACGTTCTCCCCTCAAAGGAATGTTTCAAGTACCTAGGGTATATGATACATAAAGATGGGGTGTAGATGATGACGTTACACACTGTATAAAGGCGGGATGGCTAAAGTGGAGGGCTGCTACTGGAGTTTTGTGTGACAAGAAGGTGCCTCTAAAACTTAAGGGAAAATTTTATAGAATGACAATAAGACCAGCGTTGATGTATGGATCAAAATGTTGGGCAATCAAGAAGGATCACGTAAGGAGGATGGACGCCGCAGAAATAAGAATGCTTCGTTAGACATGTGGTAAGACTCTGTGGGACATGACACCAAACTATGCAATTAGGATGTCCTTGGGGGTGGTGCATGTATCCGAAAAATTGAGGGAGGGAAGACTACGGTGGTTTGGGCATGTCCTTAGGCGACAACCATCAGATGCGGTCAGGAGGGTAGAGTCGATTACAATCGAAGGTTCCAGAAGGAGAGGACGACCAAGGAGGAAGTAGGTAGACTGCTTGAGATCTGATTTGAAGGATTTAGCACTTACCGAGGACATGACCTCTGACAGGAAAGTATGGAGACTTAAGACCAGGGTAGCCGAGTAGTGTGGGTCACAACCATGGGGTGTAGCATCTCTGTCTTCTTTTTAATGCCTCTGTAGTAATTTCCATGACTTCTACTTCTATACGTTTCTGTCATTGGAAGCTATGAAGGCCCAGAACTAGAGTAGCGGAGTAGTGTTGTCTTAGTTTAGGTGGTAACCTATTTGACTTTATTCCTTCTAGTAGCTTGCTATCGCTGACTACTGTGTATTCCTTCCCTTCATGTTTCCTCTTTTTAAATTTAGTCGAGACTTACATTTATGTCTATATACAGAGATTATTACGCAAGGATTACTTCCCATTACAGACGCGCATATGAAGACTGCATATGAAGACTGTTCAACTATTTATTTATTTATTTATTTATTTATACATGCATTGTATTTAATCTTTATTTTTAATTTCCTTGACTGCCGGAGGTCTTCCACGGAAGCTGCTCTCAACCTAGCGTTGGGGGCAGCCTACTACACTACCTCCCCCTTACCCCATTACATATGGGAATAGGGTTTTTGTTGTTGTTGTTGTTGTTGTTGATACCTCTAAAAATAATTTAAAGTAAATTTTAGTACTTAAATTATCAGTTTTGATCCGTTTCATGATCTAAACTTCTATTTTTTTTTTTAAAAAAATCATGCTTGAAGTTTAGTTTTGTTTTCATTTTGGTACCTGTTCAAAATTTAACGTTAAGTCGGGTTTTGATTCGAGTTCGGTGGAGGGTGAAAAAACTTCGACTTGAGGATAATAATGTAATTTTCTTAAAATTTATTATATTTTTAATTAAATCCTTGATTTATACCGGGTCAGGCCAGAGTCGAGTAAATGATATATCTGCTTCGGGTGGAGAGTGCATATTTTTGGGTTAGATCGGATTGACCAAAAATCTGACCCAATGCCATTCCTAATTCTAACTCTACGAGTTTTATATTATATTTTGAAATTTAGATTGGGGTATTTTTGCTAAAGATAAGATCAAGTTAAATTTAGATTTAGATTTAAGTTAAGATGAAAAATCTTTCATATGATCTATGCCCATCTATAATTTATACTTTATACTTTTTTAAATTATTATTTTTATCTTATCTTGTTCTAAAATAATCGACGTTCAATAATAATAATGTGTTATATATATTTATTAATGATCGAAATGATAATTTAAAGGATAAATAATAATAACAATTTAAGGGAGCCAAAAAAATAAGTAGTCTACATTTTAAAGGCTAAACTAAGGATTAAGCCTTTCGTTTATGATAATGACATCCTTCTCTATTCTAACAAAGACGCACTATCCTTAATGATGCATTCTTAGTGTATACCTAGAATTGACTCCTTAAAACCAAGAATTAAAATTAGAATTAGAATTAGAATTAGCAGAACGTTGTCGTTTTAATCCATTGAATCCCATCAACTTTTATCCAGAAAATAAATCTCACAAATTAAAAAGAAGAGAGTAAATACAAATACCAACGGATAAACCTAGGCAAGGACAGGCTAGGGCGATCGCTCTCCTCGCCTAAAAATTTCAAACTATAATATTTATATATATATATTTATTTATTAAAAATATCTTTTAGTCTCGTAAAATTTTATAACTTTAAATTTATTTCGATTAATATAAAATCTTGTTTTCATCTCTTCGAATATCTTAATACCAGGTGAGATGCAGAGTTAATGTGAAAAATGTAATTTTTCCTATTAATGGCATGGCTAGGTAGTTTAGTAGGTGCATCGACCATGGCCGTTTTAAAGGGTGATGGTGGGCGGTGAAAAAGTAGGTTTGGTTGGTGGTAGAAGGGCATAATTGGTAGTTGGTTTAATACCAAAATATAGGCCCAAATTATACAATTTTTTCAAATACGTGCTTAAAATAACTTATCTCAGTGATAAGTAAATCATCTTATCTCAATTTCCCCGATATTAAATTATGCATTTGATATTTAAATCATCAATTTTAATTTATTTTAATATTTTAATATTTAATTTTTTCAAAATAATATATAATATTTAATTTTTATTTTATTTTAATACCTAATTTAACATCTAAATTATCAGTTTTTATTCGTTTTAACACTTAAACTTTTAATATTTTTAAAATTTAATGTTGAACTTTTAACGGAAACTAAATGAAACAAAAATTAAATATTAGATGTGTTTTATAAAAAATTAAAAATTTAAATACTAAAATAAGTAAAAATTAACTGTTTAAATACTAATCATATAGTTATTGAAAAGATAGTGAAATAAAAGAAAGGGTAAAGTATAGTAATGGTCACTGAACATTTTTGAAGTTTGCATTTAGGTTCCCCAACTTTTAAAACTTGCAATACAGTCCCCCAACATTTATTCCGTTTGCAATATGGTCCCTCAACTTAAACCACTGTTAGAAAATTAGGGTAACGATCATTGAACTTTTTGGGCACTTACTTTTAAAACTTGTAAAATAGTCCTCAATTTCATTCTAAACCCCAATTTCCAAAGTAATTCAATTTCATTCTAAACCCTAAATTCCAAAATAATTCAATTAAATTTTAAACCCCAAATTCTAAAATACTTCAATTTAAGGTTTAGAATGTAATTGAATTATTTTGGAATTTAGGGTTTAGAATGAAATTAAGGTGTTTTGAAATTTTGAACATGAATTTACTATTTGACAATATTTATTTCAATATAAATTTGAGGTTTGTTTAACTATTTATATCAATTTTGAATAACAATATGCATTGATTAAACATCCCGAATAGCAAAATGGAAGCACTCTATTCGGTATTTCAACTTCCCATAAACTCTGCTCATTTCTTTAACTTTTGACTATATGAAATTCGGAACACTCATTTGGAGCATTATGATTTAAGTACCACTATGTTCTTGCATGCTATTTTTTTTATCAGATTTGAGTACCTAACCCTTCAGTGCTTTACAGTGCGATCATTTATGATTCACCTGAATTTGCTCATACAGTGATCATTTATGATTTAGTAGAATCAATGGTTTAGAAGGAAATTGAATTACTTTGGAAATTGGGGTTTATAATGAAATTAAGGATTGTTTTACAAGTTTTAAAAGTTGGGAGACCTAAATTCAAGTGTCTAAAAAGTTTAATGACCGATTATATAATTTACCCTAATTTTCTAACATTGGTTTAAGTTGGGGGACCATATTGCAAACAGAATAAATGTTAGGGGATTGTATTGCAAGTTTTAAAAGTTGAGGGACCTAAATGAAAGCTTCAGAAATATTCAGTGACCATTACTATACTTTACCCTAAAAGAAATGAGTTGTCTTCCATGTGACTAAAAAAGAACCCACGTTAGTAAAAAATAGATCACACACCTAAAGAAAAACAAAATAGTTAAAAATTAAATGATTAAATTGAAAACTTTAAAATTTAACGATTAAAATTTAAATTCATAAAATTTATATAATTTTTTACAAAATTAAAATATAAAAAAGTTTAATGAAAGGGTAAAATTTTATTTTAACCCCTGAACTTCATATAAAAGTTTAATTATATATATATATATATTTATAAATCTAAAATAGTTTAAGGATAAATTTGTAATTTAACTTTCGTAGAATTTTTACTATTTAATGACAAAATAAGGATATTTTTTAAAGAAATTTTTTTAAAGGGCATTTTAGTTCTAAAGGCCGGTAATCCAACAATACCTAAAAAAAGGAAGATAATGACATTTTCGATAATATACCCTAAAAATCTACTATTAATAATGTAAGATTACCGAGAATGACATTCCTTACCAACCAAACAAAAAAATATAGATTTCATTCTTACGAGAATCTCACGTTACTATAACCAAACACAACCTTTTAATTTTGAGTTGTACACATAAAAGCAACTTTATGTAGCCTTGTTGTCGTGTCAGTGCTCTTCAACGAGCGAACAGTGGGAAGAAAGAGAAATAAAAAAGGTAAATTATGCAGATAGTATCTTATGTTTTGATTGACTTTAATCATTAATTTAAAAGTTAAGTGAAAATAACCTTTAACATTATCAATCGGTTCGATTTTTGTCTCTCAGCCATTAATTTTCGTTAATACCTTTTATTTAAGTCCCTTTTGTTTCAGTATCTAATATGACTAAAAATTAAAATTAAACGAATCGATAATGTTATGAATAAGTACTCCTTATTGAATTGGTGACCAAAGTCAGTCATATAAAAATCACGGGGGAATATCTGAAAAGTTTACCCATAAAAAAGGGTCAATTTCATTGGTTTTCTACATGTATTCTGCTACTGTTGTTGCTTGGCATCAAGATGTTTTTAATGGTGATTTGTCCATGCTTAACTGGATCATACTAGCCAAAAAGAGATCACTTTGTACGAATGTGAACGGTTCAAAAGAGATACTTTCAAATATTACCAGAAAAAGCTTCCTCCCCTTCATCTGTGACCTTCCATGGATGCTCAAAGGCTTCACCTTTTAGCTCTATCTTTCCTTTCACTCCTTCACTTAGCTAAACCTTTCGTCCCTTCAAATGATTTTCTCATCAACTGTGGATCGAATGCCAACGCTTCCCTTTATAATCGTGTCTTCGTATCTGATTCAGTGAAACCCAGTTCGGTTTCCCTCTCGGCTGAGCGATCCGTTTCACTCACTGACGGAAACCCATCTCCGAGTTCGCCCATTTTATACCGCACGGCCCGGGTTTTCACCTCCGAGTCGAGCTACGAGTTCGACGTCGAGCGGAACGGGAATGGGACTCACTTGGTACGCCTCCATTTCTCTCCGTTTATAGCTCGGAATTTCAACTTGGCTTCTGCGAAATTCGATGTTTTGGCTAATGGTTTCTCGTTACTGCGTGGTTTTAGTGCTTACAATACTGTGCTAAAAGAGTTTTTGCTGAGAATCGATGGTGGAGTTCTTGAAATCATGTTTAGTCCTCTGGGTGATTCTGGGTTTGCATTTGTTAGTGCAATTGAGGTGTTTTCTGCTCCTAAAGACTTTATAATCGATGATGGAGCTAGGTTAGTTAACAGTAATGGGATTGAGAGTTACAAGAACTTAACATCTCAGGTTTTAGAGACTGTTCATAGGGTTAATGTTGGTGGATTGAAATTGACTCCTTTTAATGATAGTTTATGGAGAACTTGGATCCCTGACGACGGCTTCCTCGTGTTCGAATCCGCCGCGAAAAAGGCGGTCACCACTCATGTGCCGAATTATCAGAATGGGGGCGCCACCCGGGAAATCGCCCCGGACAATGTTTATATGACCGCACGAGAGATGAACCGAGATAATACGACGATGAACGGATTATTCAATATCACTTGGTACTTTCGTGTAGGTTCAGTTGGTGTTCCACACTTGGTTAGGTTGCATTTTTGTGATATTGTTAGCCCTGTCCTTAATCAGCTCTACTTCAATGTGTATATCAATGATTACTCTGCTTATAGGGATCTTGATCTGTCGATGCTTACGTTTCATGTGCTTTCATCTCCGGTCTACTTAGATTTCGTCGTTGATTCAGATGATTCGGGGGTTATTCGCCTGAGTGTTGGACCTTCGGATTTGAGCACTCCTTCGAAGATTAATGCGATTCTAAATGGGGCTGAGATCATGAGGTTGGTGAATCCTATGGATTTACAAGCCAAGTCTAAGAAGAAAAACATTTGGATTTTGGTGAGTTTTATTGTTGGTGGCTTTGTTATCTGTTGTTTGGCTGTGGCTGCAGTTCTGCTAATGCTCAAGTTCAAGAAGAAGAAATCGAAACCGCCGAGACGTGTAGAAAGCACTGGTTGGACACCTCTACGTGTTTACGGGGGCAGTTCGTATAGTAGAATGTCTGAAGGGACTGCTACTACGTCTCCAGGCCCTAATGGTAGCTTGAAAATCCCGTTTGTCGACATACAGGCCGCGACTAACAATTTCGACAAGAGTTTGATTATCGGAATGGGTGGATTTGGTATGGTTTACAAAGGGGTACTTAAGGACAATACCAAGGTGGCCGTGAAGCGAGGTGTCCCGGGATCAAGGCAGGGTCTCCCTGAGTTCCAGACCGAGATAACTGTTTTCTCAAAGATTCGTCACCGGCATCTTGTTTCGCTGGTTGGGTATTGCGAAGAACAGTCGGAAATGATACTGGTCTATGAGTACATGGAAAATGGACCATTGAAGAACCATTTATACGGTTTAAAACATCCTCCTTTGTCCTGGAAGCAAAGGCTCGAAATATGCATCGGCTCGGCTAGAGGTCTTCACTACCTTCACACTGGTTCAGCACAAGGTATCATTCATCGCGACATCAAATCTACCAACATATTGCTCGACGAAAATTTCGTGGCCAAGGTTGCCGACTTTGGCCTCTCGCGATCCGGTCCATGTCTCAATGAAACTCATGTAAGCACTGGGGTAAAAGGTAGCTTCGGGTATCTCGATCCCGAGTATTTCCGGAGACAGCAGCTGACTGATAAATCAGATGTTTATTCATTCGGGGTCGTTCTTTTCGAGGTACTCTGCGCTAGGGCTGCCGTTGATCCATTGCTCGCTAGGGAGCAGGTGAACTTAGCAGAATGGGCAATGCAGTGGCAGAAAAAAGGCATGCTCGGCAAAATCATAGATCCCAACCTTGTGGGACAAATAAAGGCTAGCTGTTTGAGGAAATACGGAGAAACAGCCGAGAAATGCTTGGCCGACTACGGCGTCGATAGACCGACCATGGGCGATGTCTTGTGGAATTTGGAGCATGTACTCCGGCTTCAAGAATCGGGGCCGGAAGAACCATACGAAGACGGCAACATGAACGGAATGGATTATCCGACAACGAGTGTTACCACATCGGGGCCATCCGGCAATGCTGGAGCAGAGAAAGATGATCCTATTGGTTCAGACATGACAACAGGCCAAATATTTTCCCAATTGATGACAAATGAAGGCAGATAGTCGACGTTCTCCCCTTCAATATTTTCTTTCATTATTAAAATAGTTTTTTTTTCTTTTCAGTCCCTTCGGGTTTTTATTTTAATGATATAGTCCACAAAATTGCACCTTAGCTCTCTTTTTCATATCATTCGCATATGGTAATCGAAAGTAATTGGTTAAAAACAGTTTATTTGCTTTTCAGTCCCTTCAGGTTTTTTATGTTAATGATATAGTGATTTCATTATTAACCTAAACCCTGATTATGCCGATGTTTTATTCAGGAAATGGAGGTCTTGAAACGTTGAATTTGAGACTAAATTCCAAGCCCAAATTCAGGACCAAAACAAAAATTCAGGATGGTGTAGGGACTAAAACCAAAATTAGACCAAGAAGAAAAAAGTTTCCAAATCCAAGCACATATAATTTCAATTCCACGCACCGCAGATTTCGTTGCATTTCTAAACCCACGTCGAATCTCCCTATCGCATTTGGGGCCCGAAGTAATCGTTGGATATAAGTAGTTTTTAAATTAAGGGTAAAGTCTACAAATGCCCCTGATTATAGGATACTGCTTTTATTAAGTCCATTGACTATTAAAAGTTATGAAACGATAATCTAATTATAGATTGTTGCTTTGTTGAGTCCTTCGGCTATTAAAAGTTACAAAATTATCATCTGACTATTAATTATATTCCAAACTCATCATTTTTCGTTTAAAAAATTGATAGTGTTCTGAGCCGAACGTTAACCTGTTGACTGTCATATGATTAAATTTGATCCTAAAATCTCAAACGACTATCATATGTCAATCATCATGTTAACATTTAACTTAAACAACCGCTAATTTTTAACGGAATGAGACGAGTTTGGAATATAATGGAATAGTCAGGTGACCATTTTATAACTTTTAATAGTCGAGAGACTTAACAAAACAACATTCTATAGTCAGAGGATCATTATATAACTTTTAATAGTCGATGAACTTAACAAATTAGTAACATATTGTCGGGGACCAGATATTAATTACATTTATAAATTTATTTGAAAGTTTAAATTCATATTTTATTTATAATTTTTTAGTATTATTACTCGTATCCTAATTAATTGTTATTATTTATCACGTATCTAAAATTATTCTAAAATCAACAAAACCCTCTCTATCATCGACAGTGGCATTGGCATGACTAAAGCAGGTAATGCTGATTTATATTCGATCTTTCTCGCTTAGATTTGAGATTCAAATTGCTTGACATGGCTTTTTAATAATGATTTGTTGATTGTACATGTACAGATTTGGTGAACAACTTGGGTACAATTGCAAGGTCCGGGGAGGCTCTGGAAGCTGGAGCTGATGTGAGCATGATTGGTGGAGGCTCTGGAAGGTGGAGCTGATGTGAGCATGATTGGACAATTCGGTGTCGGTTTCTACTCTGCTTATCTCGTTGCTGAGAAAGTCATTGTGACCACAAAGCACAATGACGACGAACAGTACGTTGGGAGTCCCAAGCTGGTGGTTCCTTCACCGTCACCCAGGATGTCAATGGAGAGCAGCTTGGTAGAGGAACCAAGATTACGCTCTTCCTCAAGGAAGATCAGGTATATATTTTGCTCGTTTTCGACAAAAGTTGATAAGAATTTTTCTTCATGGTTTTGGAAAGTCAAATTGTTGTTTGCAAATTGCATTTACAGCTGGAGTACTTGGAGGAGAGGAGGATCAAGGACCTTGTGAAGAAGCACTCCCTGTTCATTAGCTACCGTATTTACCTATGGACCGAGAAAGAGATTAGCGACGACGAAGATGATGAACCCAAGAAAGACGAGCAAGGAAATGTTGAGGATGTTGATGAGGAGGAGAACAAATCAAAGAAGAAAAAGAAGATCAAGGAGGTGTCTCATGAATGGAAACTTATCAACAAGCAGAAACCAATCTGGTTGCGTATGCCGGAGGAGATCACTAAAGAGGAGTATGCCTCTTTCTACAAGAGCTTGACTAATGATTGGGAGGATCATCTTGCCGTCAAGCACTTCTCTGTTGAAGGCCAGCTCGAATTCAAGGCCATTCTCTTTGTGCCGAAGAGGGCTCCATTTGACCTATTCGACACTAGGAAGAAGATGAACATCAAGCTCTATGTTAGGAGGGTGTTCATAATGGACGATTGCGAGGAGCTTATCCCTGAGTACCTTGGATTTGTTAAAGGTGTTGCCGATTCCGATGACTTGCCGCTCAACATCTCTCGTGAGATGCTACAACAGATCAAGATTTTGAAGGTGATTAGGAAATGAAGTGCATTGAGATGTTCAATGAGATTGCCGAGAACAAGGAGGACTACAACAAATTTTATGAATCTTTCTCAAAGAGCCTGAAGTTGGGAATTCATGAAGATCTCCAAAACAGGGCTAAGCTAGCCGACCTTCTCCGATACCACTCGACCAAGAGTGGTGATGAGTTTACAAGCTTGAAGGACTATGTCACCAGAATGAAGGAAGGCCAAAAAGACATTTACTACATCACTGGCGAGAGCAAGAAGGCAGTGGAGAACTCTCCATTCTTGGAGAAACTGAAGAAGAAGGGATATGAAGTTCTTTTCATGGTTGACGCTATTGACGAGTATGATGTTGGACAATTGAAGGAATATGATGGCAAGAAGCTCGTTTCAGCCACGAAGGAAGGTTTGAAGCTCGATGACGAGACTGAGGAAGAGAAAAAGAAAAAGGAGGAGAAAAAGAAGTCCTTCGAGGATCTCTGCAAGACAATTAAGGATATCTTAGGAGACAAAGTGGAGAAGGTGGTTGTCTCTGACAGGATTGTCGACTCGCCTTGCTGTCTGGTCACTGGAGAGTACGGCTGGACTGCAAACATGGAAAGGATTATGAAAGCACAGGCACTGAGGGATAACAGCAAGAGTTCTTACATGTCGAGCACGAAGACTATGGAGATTAATCCCGACAATGGAATAATGGAAGAGCTGAGGAAGAGGGCTGAAGCTGACAAGAACGATAAATCGGTCAAGGATCTAGTGCTGTTGCTATTTGAGACCGCTCTTTTGACGTCTGGGTTCGGCTTGGATGATCCCAACACATTCGCGGCTAGAATCCATAGAATGCTGAAGCTGGGACTGAGCATGGACGAGGATGAAACCGGTGGAGACGATGCCAATATGCCTGCTCTTGAGGAAGATGAAGCCGAGGGAAGCAAGATGGAGGAGGTGGATTAAAATCATACAAAAACATTTAGGTGAATGTACTTTGAGCTTGTGAGGTTTCATTGTTCTGCTGTGTGTTAAACAAGAAAAGGTAATATGAATCATCAAGCTTTAGCTAATAATTGAATTATCCATGATCTTTTACATTACACTTATATTAATGGCTTTCAATTTTCCTGTTCCAAGTTCCATGTGTATTTGATTCATCTTCTTCATCAGAATAAAATATAAGCAAGTCCGCCATGCCTTGTCAAGTCCATGCCAACCATCTCATCCTCAGCTGAAATCCTGAGAAGCCCAAGTTTATTAAGAAAATAAAACAAAGTCCCCACTGTGGCACTTACCCACCCAACAATGACCAAAATCTGGACAATCTGAGCGGCCAAAAGCCTCCATCACCTCCCATAAGCAACCCGTATCGACCCGGTGGCCTACCGGGATAAACCTCCCTCACATATTTGTCAAAAGCAAATAAACCGGTGAAGAGGACTCCCCAAGCACCACATCCATCGCGTAATTGAGTTGCTTCTAATGGATAGTCGAACTTGACTTCCACGGCCAGCTTATTGCAACCGATCAAGACCAAAGCCGCCACAGATCCACAGATAATAGCAGCCCACGGTTCAACAACAGAGCAGCCTGCAGTAATAGCAGCAAAGTCACCTAGTAAACCACTGCAGACATCGGTTACATTCCAATGACGTGTTAAAATCCTTTTCCCTAAAAGAGTGGTCAACGCCCCGTGCATCCGGCTAGAGTGGTAGTCACCGCCGTTCTCCCCACCGCACTCCACTGCCTGTAATGGTTGCCGGAAGTGTAAAAGTTCGAATTCCGTTTAAATGAACCGGGGTTGAAACCGTACCAACCGAACCAAAGTATGAAAGTCCCGAGATTCCGTTAAATGATGGCGACCAATGAAGTCGCCACTAGAAGGCGAACCGAAGGCGAATCTGAAAAGGTAATAAAACAGGCCAACAATGGTGGCATCGAGGACGGTAATAAGCATGATGTTGATGGCGTTTTTTGCACGGACCGAGCCAGCGCAAAGCATGGCGAAGCCGAGTTGCATGAAGAAGTTAAGGTAGGCCGAGAAAAGAAGGTAAGTGTTCTCGACGTCGAAGGAAACATCACTGAACTTGTTGCAAATATAGTCGGCTGCAGCGGCGGAGGCGGTGGCGTTATGGCCTAGGAGCGCCTCTAGGTCCGTTGAACAGGTTCCCATGGCCTAAAATGGTGAAGAAAGGAACAAATGAAATGGGAGAAAACATAATTCATCTTTATGTCAAATATGTGCAGCAGTAATATCCACTAGAGTGCTCAATCACGAACTTGAACAACTGAGCATAGTGGGATTCAATCATGAACAACTGAGCTTTATTTTATTAAGTATTAATTAATATTGAACAAATATATATTTTAAAAAATAAATAAAATATTAGATCCCTTCAAATAAAAAAAATATTTATAACAAATTAAAAGTATTTTAACCTGCTATAATAAATTTTTAATTACGTGTATGTTTTTAACCATATCAGCATTGACGACATAGACGTAAGAAGAGGAAAGAAAACAATATTTTGACCCTTCAACCATCCACCACACACTTCATCGTCAGCTTTAAAATAGGGGTAAATTACAAATTTCAACACTAAATTTACTTTTTATCCTATTTTGCTCACTAAATTTTAAAAGTTTTCAATTTTTCACTGAACTTAATATATTAAGTTTTCTGGTAATTGAACCTTACTCTCACTCCTATTTTGGTCATTCTGTCGTTAAATAGATAACGGTGTTAAAAATGACACCGTTTTAAAAAAACAAAACTTTTACCAAAACGATGTCGTTTTACATCTATATAACAGTCCATTTAACATCATTAACTATTTAATGTCCAAGTGACCAAAAAAATCCGATGCATTAAGTTTAGTGAAAAATTGAAAATATTTAAAGTATAATGAGTAAAATATGATAGATAATAAAGTTCAATAATCAAATTTATAATTTACCCTTAAAATAAAGATCCTATGGATAATAAAATATGGAATATTTAATATTATTAAATGTTTTAATAAATTTGAATGTTAGCCCTGCTAAGTTTTAGTTTCATCAGTAACATAATTATTGTTAATATGTTGTAACATCTATTTGAACATATAATATTCTTTAATTTAAAAGAAAAATATAAGATATGTGAATTAACTGATTGATAAAGGATTATATCATTGGTCATAGGGTGAACTACATTTTAGTACTTAAACTATTAATTTTGGTTCGTTTTATTATTAAAGTTTTAACTTTTTTCAAAATAATATATAACGTTTAGTTTTCATTTCGTTTTAGTATCTCGTCTTTAAAAATTTAACCTATTTAGTACCTAGACTATCAGTTTTGGTTTGTTTTAACGACTAACCTTTCATTGTTTTTCAAAACTTAAGGGTACTAAATGAAATAAAAACTAAAGTTTTAACGGCGGATACTAAAATGAAATAAAAATTAAATTTCAGGTATAATTTTAAAAAAATTAAAAAAAAAAAAAATAATTAAAACTGATAGTTTAGATATTAAATTTGTAATTCACCCTTGATATATAGGTGTGAATAATGGTTTGGAGCCAAGTAAATTGTTTCCCAACTAGGAAAGTTTCTTTACATTTGTTAAACTGACACGACTGGACCAGATCTTCCCTTACACGTGACTGAGAAGCCGAAAGGAGGATGAAATCCCCACTGACCAAGTCAAGAAGAAGGTCGATTGCATTAAACCGATGTCGTTTAAAGGTCCGACCACACTCGTAGAAATTTTTATTTTTTTATATTTTAAATATTTTTTGTATTTATATAAATTATTTAATTTTATACCTTAATATTTTATAATGTCGTACGTTTTAAAAATTTTAATATATTTTGAGTAAATTACATGTTTGATAACTGAATTTTATTTTTTTTATTTCACTCACTATTTTTATTTTTTAATTTATTCACTGAATTTTATAGATTGATTTTTTTGTTCACTCTATCGTTAAATGATTAAACGATGTTAAGACATGACAACTTACATTAAAACGAAGTTGTTTTGAATTCCTAAAGAAAAAAATTTAGACTAAAACGAAGATGTTTTGATTAAACTACGGTCATGTCATAACGCCATTAATTTTTAATAGCGGAATGAAAAAAATAATCTATAAAGTTCAGTGAGTAAATTGAAAGAATTGAAAGTACAATGAGTGGAAAGGAGATCGAGAAAATTCAGCTAACAAATATGTAGTTTACCCTGTATTGTTTTTATGTTCACACCGTTCGTCCGTACCTGCAACTGCGTATCTTCCACGAAGCACAAAGTAAAGCTGTCTAAAAAGGCCAACACCCATCTGTATAACTTGACTTTAAGTTGACTTCGCCTCTATAAATTTCACAAGCTTTGGGTTTTGGATTTCCATCAAACCCTGAGCTTTTACACTACCTTGACCTTCCACTTCCACTTCCACTTCCACTAATTCCCTCTCCTCTTCTCTTTGTTTTGCTACACAGAGTACCCTCAAAGCTCCGAAATGAAGGTAATTTAACATACATAAGTATATATATATATATATATATATGTGTGTGTATGTATGTATTGCTTTGATCGAGACATTAACAGAAACTGTTTTTTCTTGGGACAGAAAGTTGTGCTGAAATTGGATTTTCACGACGAGAAATGCAGACAGAAAGTCATGAAGACAACCTCTGGTACTTCGGGGGTTGAATCGGTTGCCATGGACAAGGACCAGAAACTGACGGTGACAGGGGACATCGATCCCTTTTCGGTCGTGAGGAAACTGAGGAAGCTCTGTCACGCCGAGATCGTCGTCCGGCGAAAGAGCCGGAGAAGAAGAAAGAAGAGCCGAAAGAGGTTATAGTGACGTACCCGTACGTGTATCAACCGCCGATGTCCCAGTACTACTATTCTCCGGTACCCAACTCTTACACTTACGGTGAAACTATCGAAGAATATCCGGCCGGTTGCGTTATCTGCTAAAGTTTTGTTCTTCACCTATCGATATAATTTCATATACATAATAGATGAAGTACTTGATGAAGAAGAAGATGAAAAATGGCCTTGGGTTAATTTTTTTATATAATTATTTTCATTTTTTACAGCATGGTGGGTTTTTCAGTTTGGAATTTTGTTGTGATTTTTTATTTTGAACTTATTTCGTCTACCTATTCTTTGGAAAATAATTTAGTTATTTATCATCTTTAATCTCGTTAAAATTTTACTTTGTTAAAAAAATCTTTTGATTAAGCTCGTTGTTCATCTTGTTACTCGTTAATTCATCGAAAATTTTACCTTATTTTTTTAAACATAAGTAAAAACTACTAATACTATACGGAGTTTAATATAAACATAAATTAATAAATATAACCCAAAAGATTATCAAAATAATGTATAAATTGATTTCGAAATCTAAACTCTAAAGTAATAATCCACAAATATATTAGAATAATAAATATGATTTGATTTTCGAGTACAATAAAATATTAATTGACACTTCAATATTTTATTTATTTATTAGAGAAATAATAGATTAATTATTTATTATCCATTAAATTAGTAATTTTTTGAATGAAATAATTTTTTAATATAACTATTAAAAAAATATAAAAAAAATTAATGAGTTACTCGCGAACTTATTGAGTCGAGTTGAATTTTTCTCAACTCATTAAGATCTTGAATTGGGCTCGAGCCAACACGATTCAAGCTTTTACCTAATTTTGATCAAGTCGAATTCAAACTACTTACGAGCTGCTCAACCTCATTAAACACCCCTACTTACGATTAATATATATAATTAAATTCGATCATTATAATTAGTAATAAAATTATTAATTTAATATATTTTAATTTATATTATAATAACGTTAGGTAAAAGTCACACATTTATAATTCTTTTGATATCCGTCTTTATTTTAAATAATATTAAGTGATCACATTATAATATTTATTTAAATTTTATTCATTTAAAACATTTTTTAATAAAATCCAAAAAAAATATTGAAACGTAATCTTCTTAATATCCCGAAAGCCCATTGAAAAGTGCTAAAACTAAGATTGTTTCTCCTCTTAATTTCATCCTTATCGTCACTCATTCCTTGAGTCAACGGACAGACCGAGGGAGGGACGGGTGAAGGCATCCTTATCGCCACTCATTCATTCCTTGACTCAACGGATAGACCGAGGGAGGGATGGGTGAAGGCATCTTTATCGGGTTTGGATTTTTTTAAAATTAGGTTCGGATCGGGTCGCATTCGGGTTTAGAGTGAAAAATATCTGACCCGACCAAAAAATTATAATTTGACCTTATATTTAGAGATAATTACAATAATATCCTTATATATATTATTTTCTTTCAATCAATTCTCTATTTTTATGGAATAAAAATAATTTTTTAATAAATATATTATTTCTGATCGGGTCGGATTAGGTCAGATTAAGATTTTATATAAAAAAATCAGTCGGGTGGAACATAGATATTTTTTGGTTCCGGTGGAGTATTTATAATTTTTGGGTCAGGTCAGGTGGGCCGCGAATATGACCCAAGCCGACCCATGCCCATCCCTAACGTTTAGTATTAAACATACATAATATTACGTTTTAATTTTATTTTGATCATTTTAATTTTATTTTGATCATTCACTGTTAAGGGAATAACAAAATATTGATGTGAAGTTTATTTTAATAAAATCAATTATGACATGACATTACCTTATGGCGACACGTCAACATCACTGTTAATTTTAATGGTATGTGACCAAAATAAAACCAGAACGTAAAATTAATATAATTTTGAAACAAAGAAATAGTTGAGTTATAACCACGAAACATAAATGATAATTAGAGTACTAAATGTAGTTTACCCAATATTTTATTCAAATTTTAGTGAGAATTAATAAAAAGGGTAAAGTATATAAATGGTCCCTTGACTATATAATACTATCTTGTTAAGTCCCTTGACTATTAAAAGTTATAAATTAGTCATTCGACTATAGAGAGTTGTTCATTTTGAATCCCTTTACTATTGAAAGTTACAAAATGGTCACCCAACTATTTATTATGTTCCAAACTCGTAATTTTTTATTAAAAAATTGATGATTGTCTGAGCTGTGCATTAACTTGTTAAACGAGACATGATACAATTTAATCTCATAATCTCAAACGACTATCATATCTCACGCAACATATTAACATCCAGCTCAGACTGTCGTTACTTTTTTAATAGAAAATGATGAGTTTGGAACATAATGAATAGTTGAGTGATCATTTTGTAACTTTTAATAGTCATGGACTCGATAAAGTAACTCCCTATAATTGAGGGACCATTTTTTTAATAATCAAGAGACTCAATAAAGTAGTATTTTACAGTCAAGGGACCGTTTTTGTACTTTACACATAAAATAATCAAATTTCAAAATTGAATGAATAAATTAAAATGTAAAATTTGATGATTAAATTAAAATGAGAGTACATTGGGTGGTAAAATTTATAATTTAAAAAAACTGATAAAGGTAAAGAAAAAAAACAGTGTTAGTATTTCCTTTGAAAATAAAACGTCGGAGGCAAGATTGAAAAAATTAAATTCCCGCTGAGGGAGCAGTTAAGAGAATGGGAAAGAAGAGAAATGCAAGCACAATGGACGACGTTGATCGGTTGTTCGAATGCTTCAAATGTGGCATCTCTCCTCCTCGTAAGCTCTTCTCAATCATTTTCTTCTTGTTGTTCAGTGAATTACACTGCAAAATTACCGAAATTCGAACTTTATTTGTAAAAAAGAAGGTTTCAATTAGGGTAATGTATTTATGCTTTTGCAATCTTCATCATCGTTGCATATCAGATTGGTCTATTAGGTTCTACTACTGATTCTAGTCCACTTCAATTTCACGCGAATTTATTGTGTTGGACAAATTAAAGAAAAAAAAGGGGATTAATAATGAGTCTTGATTTCCCCCTAGAATCTGCTGTAAGGGAAAGAAAAAGATGTAAAAGCAAGCTGAATCGAGAAAATTCTACACGAAAGATCTTCGTGTCTCCTTGTTCGCCTTCCCTATTAGAACAAAGAAAGGAAACTGCAACCAGTGCACAACTTTCTGAGGAAATGGTATTCGATTTAATTTGCTTTTGTTTTATTCATGTTTATAGCTTATTGGGACACTTTTTTGGTCGAGTACAGCGAGGACTTAAACTCAGCTCACCTGAAAGTCGACTTTAGATACATGGATTCACTTATTTGAACGAAATTTGGCTTTGTTTTGAATTAATAACAGAATCCTGTAATTTAGACACTTTGACTTGTTTGTCACCAGTTCATTGTTTCTTGGCTACGGTACTGCAGAAATTGATCTAACTTTATGTTTCCTTTAGTCTGCTTCTACAACAGTTAAGCCTTGAAAATTTAGCCGTGGGAAACAGTTCTCACCAGTTATATTTTATGGGTCTCCACATGGCATTCCTCCAAAAAGACCATTGAGTTGCTGCGCTTGTTACGTGAAATTCACGTTGATCTTAGTGATCAAGATAATCAAATTTGAGGTAGTTGTCTGACTTCATTTCAGGACTTCTCAGATTCTATTAGATAAACTGTTTGATTCAAAAGCATTCTTCATCTCTTTTCTTACTGTCCTTTTTTGTTGACTTGGCTCTTGTTACTCATTTTCTAGAACAGCAGTATGGGCTACATTTCCAAGACAGGATGAAGCAGTTAAGTTTGCTAAAGGACATGCAAATGCACATGTTTTTAGTTATCAAGATCACTATAGTGGGCAGAGAAGATATCTTGCTTCTACATATGAGTAGTTCTGGAAGAGGTCTTCACTATTGTTTCTTGCTTGTTCAGATTTGATTAGTTCATGAGAAATTATCCTTTTAAACTCGTTGCTTTCTGCAATCCTATCATTCCAGGTAGAAACTTATGGAATCAAACCTTCGCCATCACTATGAAGTGATTTTTTTTATCATTACATTTTATTGAATTTTCACAAAACAATCATTAAATTTTATCAAATTGTTATAGTTATTGGATTTATCAAATTTTTATGTTTATTATAACATTGTAATGATCATTGTATAATAATTTGATAAATTTAATGGTTACTTTATAATTTTTGAAAAATTAATAATCAAAATGAAGCTCTGATAATAGTTTAGTAACTTGTGGCATTTTATTTTATTTCACAAGCAAATAACTAAGATAAACAAAAAATAACGAGTTTGAACCTAATGAATAATCATATGATCATTTGTAACTTTTAATAGTAGAGAGATTCAACAAAGCATCACTCCATAATCGAATGCTTATTTTTTAATTTTTAATAATCGATTAACTTAATAAAACAATACCTATAATAAAGTGATAATATGTGTACTTAACTGGGATATAATTTATCATTTGAAATAAAAATAAATCCTCCCAATAGACCATTGAAGTCTCTCTACACTCTCACAGTACGTTCGAATCAGACACCGTTAAAAATGCAAAGATTCCAACTAAACAAAGCATCGCATTTAGCAGGAAAAAAAGAAGAGTATCCAACAAAATTTTTAACGGTCCAAGATCTCCCAATAAAAGAAGGTTACACTAAAGGCAAACAATGGAGGTACAGTTCCATTCTTCTTTCTGTAGGAGGACCCACCAAATCACTGTCGGAACATGCCACGTGAGGTTTTATCGTACGATCATGATTGGCCTAGGTGAACCAGCCACGAATTAGGATGATTTGCAGAGTGCCGGACAACTGCTTTTGCACTGAATTCCCATTTTTCGTATCGAAAGGAGAGCTCCGGAATTCTTAGCTTTTGCACGCGCCGTCACGAGAGTGGTAGATTTTGCAGCTCGGCCTCCGAGTTTGAGAACTGCACCGTAGAACTGGCGTACATCTCGTGTTCGGTTGCTGCGGGTATTCGATTCTGTTCTCAAATCTCAAATTTTCCAGTGTTTTTAGGTAAATTATTTATTTGACATTTCATACATTTTCGTAAATTAAGTGATTGTTTTTTAAAATAATATTTTGCGTTCTACTTTTATTCCTATTTTAATATTTCATCATAATATTTTTATTTTTAATATCAATTTTTTTCTTTCTTAATAACAACATAATTATTATTTTTAATTTATATTATGGGTTAACTTCTTAAATGATCTTCGTGATCAACTTTTTCTAAATATTTCAAATTCAACTGACTGTCTCTATGATGTATGTGCGTTATTAACGTTTAAAAAATATTTTTAACATATATTATTTTATAATTATTTTTAACTATTAAGAATATATGAATTTAGGCCGTGGAATGAATTGCACACATGCCCTATACCACTAGGCAATAGGCTGCTCTATTGTAGGCTGCCACCATTGTTTGGGTTGCTGAAATGGATCGAATCTAAATGCAAAATAACAAGGGGGAAAGAACCTACCATTATGCGTCTAAATTCCCTTAATTTGTGTCATTAAATACATAATTTCAACCAACAATCAGTTGGTCTAGTGGGATGATGCACTAGGTCCTTTAAGCAAGGTCAAGGGTTCGAATTCTAACATTTGTGAATGGAGCAAATTGGGTTAGGAGGGTCACCCTCGCCTTTGCAGTACTTAATTTGGATTAGTCGGTCAATAGATCAAATACCAGTGATTATTTCAAAAAAAATACATAATTTCAAAATTTACCAAATTGTTTTAACCTATGGAAAATCAAATTATAAATTGTTTTATTACATTAACATGAGTTTCCCTTTATGTGATGATTTAAAAAAATAGCAAAAAACAATTTGAGGATTAAGCTAATTGTAGTGTGGTGGGAGGTGTCATGCAAAAAATAACTGGTTGTAATTGTTTTAGGTCCCTCTTAATTTTAACTTTAAATAAACTACTCCATTCAATATTTGATTTTTACTCACCAACAACTGATTGGTCTAGTGGGATGAGGTGCTAGATTATTTAAGCTATGTCAGGGGTTCAAATCCTTACGATTGTGAGTGTAGGGATGGCAACGGGATGGATTAGGGTCGGATTTTTGGTCAACTCGACTCGACCCGAAAATAGGTATCCTCCACCCGACCAAAATTTTTTATATCCAACATTCGACCCGACCCGAAAAATATATAGCCTTCACGCAACTCTGACCCGACCTATTTTTTTAGAGTATGAATCCGACCGACCCGATATAAATTAAGGATTTAATTAAAAATAATAATTTTTAAAAGAAAATTACATTATTATCATCAGATCAGAGTTTTTTCATCCTCTACCCAATCTGACCCCACCCCTTAAAATATACGACCCAACTCAAACCCGATTTTTTTTAAAAAAAACTGATCCAATCGGGTCAGGTCGGAACCCATCGGATTCGGGTTAAATTGTCATCCCTATGTGAATGAAGTAAAATGAATTGAGAGGGTCGCCCTTGTCTCTATAATATTCGATCTGGATTAATCGATCATTAGATCGGATACCGGTAGTTATAAAAAAATATTTGATTTTTACTCCATTTGTGGATTATCACCTTCCAAAATAGAATATAAAGTAGTTGCAAAACGTGCAAATTGACAAACTTCCTGAGCGTGCAAACAGAATAAAAATTTGGAAGCATAGTCTTTACAATTTGCCCAATTGCTCCGCCTCCCTCCCTTTGACATTTTCACGAAGTCAAAGAAAAAGCTAAAGTGGAGAAACTAAAACTCATAAAGAAAAAATGAACAATTTTTTTTTGTAGAATTCAGTCCATTTATTCTAATTTGTTAAAATTTAGTCCATTTATTCTAATTTGTTAAAATTTAGTCCATTTATTCTAATTTGTTAAAATTTAGTCCTTGTATACTGAAAAATATAAAGTCAACCTAAATAGGTAACAATTAATAGTAATGCAACAATTTACAAGTAAAGAATCAAGGATAAACTACACATTTAGTACCTAAACTTTAAAAAAAATCAAAATCATACCTAAAGTTTAGTTTTTGTTTCATTTTAGTACTCCATCGTCATAAACTTAATGCGTTTAGTACTTAAACTATCAATTTTGGTCCATTCTAGTAACTAAACTTTCAATTTTTTTTAAAAATTTAACGTTAAATTTTGAACAGTGGTACTAAAATGAATTAAAAATATACTATAGGTATAGTTTTGAAAAAATGAAAGTTTATATACTAAAACGGACCAAAACTGATTGTTTAGGTACTAAACACGTAATTTATCCAAGAATCAATGAAAATCGATGGTTCAACAATTTATATCCAATAAATTAGCAATGACCATCCATCAAAGTTTTTATTTTATTAAACTAAGATGATTCCAAAGTAGTATATGTTCTAAACACTCTCTCAACCATTTGACAATAAACGCTCATTCACCCTACTGCAGTCGTTGATGCTCGAATATGTGACCTCTAGGAACATCGACAATTCCTTTAACCGTTGAGGTAAGTTGGTTCGTACATCGATCAAAGATTTGAATTATGATAAAATGAAAGAGAGAATTAAACTTCCCACTTTATATAAAGTATAAGGATGAAATTCAGAATTAGTCCAAATTTGTTCATTCCTTTTCATGAATGGAATACACATTTGACATTTCTATTTAATTTTTTTTCTGTATAAATAATTAACAATTACCAAGTCAGTGCACCGTCGTTTCCTATATTTGTTTAAAAAAAAAAACCAAAAGTCAAAGCTGTCCTTTCCGCCTGCGTTCCCTTTTCTTCCAATTTTGTGTATAAGAAAAACGCAGCTGAGAGTTCGGAGTTGGAAATTTCATCAAAAAAGATGGCCGAGGATTGGGATCTTTACGCCGTCTTAAGGAGTTGTAAGACGGCAGCTGCCGATACCAGTAGATACGCCGCCGTGGAAAGAAGCGGCAGCGACAACAAGAACGATCGGAATTGCGGTAGTTTCAGGGAAGATCCTTTGGCTTGCTTAGCGTCGTTGACGTTCGAGGAAGAAGACGACCCGTTTACATTTAAAATCGGTTCCCTGCATGATTCTTACAAGCCCTTTTTGACGAAAGTCGACCCCACCACTAATCAAGGCATGGATCCATGTTCTTCGAGTTCTGTCCACGGAGGATCTAGTGGCCAACTTCATCATCATCACCACCACCACCACCACCATAGGCTGCAACAACACCAGCAAGAACCGCAGACAACCACAACCGTCGGGGTAGGCTCCCCCTTGACTCCAACCTCCGCTCCTATGTTCTCTTTCGGCGGCTTCGGGAATCAGCAGCAACCACCGTCGCAGCAGCTTCAACAACGAGTTCAATCACAGGCTCAGACTCCAAGATCAAGAAAGAGGTAAACGACACCGTTTTTTTGGAAAGATTCATTCTGTTTTGCAGTAATTTCTCAGCTGAAAAATTGAAAAGCCTCCATTTTTTGCAGGAAGAATCAGATGAAGAGAACCGTGTGCCATGTAACCGGAGATAATTTGTCATCGGATCCTTGGGCATGGCGTAAATACGGGCAGAAACCGATAAAAGGCTCTACGTATCCAAGGTAAAGTGATTTCGATGAAGGTTTCTATTAGATTCTGTTTCAGTGATAAATTCTTCTAATTAAAGATGAATTTTGGTTCTTTCAGGAACTACTACAGATGCAGTAGCTCGAAAGGGTGTTCGGCGAGGAAACAATTGGAGCGTAGCAATACGGATCCCAACGTCTTCATCGTTACCTACAACGGCGAACACACGCACCCCAAGCCTACTCACCGTAACTCTCTAGCCGGAAGCACTCGGAACAAGGTTTCAACCATTCAAAATACCGCTGCCACCACCATCACCGCCAAAGATTCCGCCGCGGAAACCATGCATGCTGCTTGCTCCTCTCCTCGCTCCGCCACGAGCCTCTCTCCCACGACCCCACTTTCGGCGCCCGAAGACGCTGCTGCCTCCGTGCACAACCCCGGTGAGGATGAAAGCGTTGGCATGGCTCTTGGAAGTGAAAGCGATTATTATGACGACGATCTTTTGATCCCCAACGTGCATGTAGATGAAGATCTCTTTGAGGGTTTGGAAGAACTCGTTGGAAGTGCTGGTAGTGGAATAGGATGAACCCCTACCTTTGGTGATAACTTCTCGTCTTGGAGTAGGGGTAACTCCACTGCCACCGGCGCCGCCTCCAGCGGTGGCTGCTAGACTTTTTATTTTTATTATCATCCTTTTTTTTGGTATACTACTACATTTTTGCATTGAGAGATTAAGAATGCCTAGAGTTTATGTGATTTGATTTTCATTTTATAATTTCTCTAGCAAGATAAATAAGGAAAATAAAACATATTTTGTAACTATAATCATAAAGTTCATTTTATGTGTTCAATAATCACTATAAAATAGAAATATATTACCTACAACAGATATTTAACTTGAGTTGGCTTTAATCATTTTACTTCTCTTTTGCAATCCATTCATTCGGATTGATATAGTAAAGGTATGCGAATAGTCTCTTTTGTTTAACGTCTGACCGATTTTGATTACTAATTTAAAAATTAAGGTTAAATGGTTTCTAATATTATCGGTCCATTTGATTTAAGTCTCTCCGCCGTTAATTCATATTAATCCCTTTTTGTTAAGTCCCTAATATGATTGAGGGACTATAATCGAACGGGAGTTAAAAGCTGAGAGACTAAAATCGAACGGATCAATAATATTAGGGACTAAAAATCAAACGGATCAACAACATTAGGGACCATTTCCCCTTAATTTTTAAATTAGTGACTAAAGTCGATCAAACCAAAAATATAGGGGACTATTCAAATAGTTTACCCTTTTATGTATATCTCCTTTTATGTATATCGTTTTTTTTTTTGCATATAATCATATGATGATTCTAATGTCTGTCAATGGTTTTCATAACCTTTTTTTATATATATAAAAACTTACATTGTGATAGTAATTTTTATAATTTATTTTCATTTTCGTTAAATAAATTGACATGATATCTAAAAAAACTTTAAAATACTATTTTTTTTAATTTATAATCATCTTTCGGATCACATACGTCATTATTATCCGACATTATTTCGATCACTGTCTTCATCCACAACCGTCAATAGAAATAGACACTAGACAACAACAACAAATAAAACAATAAATAAATAAGAAGACAAAAAATTACCAAATTCAACCTTGATGAATTTTTTATGAACCCCAACAATAGGAAAGCTTCGTGTAGCCAGAAGTTTAACATAGTTTGGTTTTAAGATGATCTAATGGTTGGCAATGACGGGTCAAAGATTTTTACATTTTAGTTTCGATAGAGATTGATGAGATTATAATATTTTCCGACTAGTTTGAACCAAATTAAAATAGAACAAGAAGAATAGTTTGATTATCTTTTTAACCGGAGAAACCATATATTCATGGAAGAAATACCGTTGAAAGAACGAGAAACGAATATTAATTTAGAAGAAGAAACTTAGGATTTTTAACATACGATGACAATTTTTTTAATAACAACGAAAGACATCAACCGTGATAAAAATGAATTAAAAGTTTAGTGGTTGTAATATAAGTTTTAAAAGTTTAATAACTAAAGTGAAAGTGCCCTAACAGTTCAGTATATGGATTTTTATATGTTAATATTATCAATAAATCTTATAAACAAATGTAAAATCTTAAATATTCTTTAAAAAATCATTTACTCATAATGTGATTAATTAATTCATTATCAACTAACATAATAATAATAATAATAATAATAATAATAATAATAATAATAATAAACTGCTACAACAATAATTGCAACAAATAAATTGGCACCCGGTTGCCGAGAAATCACGTGCGACAGCCTTAATATACGGCTAAAAAAAGACATTACCAGTTTTATTATTATTTTTTAACAAAACCGGTAAAAAATTACCGGAAACATTATTATTTCTACTGGTTTTGTTATTATTGGGCGTTTTACCGGTTTTGGTAACATATCTGGTAAAACGCTACATAAAACATTATTTTTTTACCGGGTTTTTTACCGCGTTTACCAATATCGGTAATTAATAATAATAACAAAACCGATAGAAATAATAATGTTTCCGAAATTTTTTTACTGATTTTGTTTAAAAAATAATAACAAAACCGGTAGCGCTTTTTTTAGCCGTATATTAAGGTAATCGCGCCGTAGAACTTCCCCCGGTAGCCTCATAGACTAATTATATAATTAACAAAAAATATATATAATTAAACAATTATAAAAATATATATATTAATGTGAGGTAAGTATAAAACAATATATGTTCAAAGATAATTCTCAATCATTTGATATTGAACGTTCACAGCTTAGCATTCCTAGGGCTCGAACTAGGGATGGATCGGGGGCATATTGGGGCAATCGCCCCCAAAATTTTAAAATTACTATATATTTTATATTTTTTCTATTAAAAATCTGATTTTGCTCCTTTTGAAATTCAAGTTTACAATAATTTTTAAAGTTTAAGTTCGCCCCTTAATATAGAATCCCGCGTTCGTCCTCGGCTCAAATCCTAAATATCAAGAAATAAAAAAATTTCTTTATCACTGAAATTATTTGATTCGGGTAAGATAAACTAATTATTATATAATTAACACTGAAATCAATTATTATAAAAGATAAACCAACAAACTGACAAGAATATGTCCAGTAAGGTTGAAACTTGAACATGATAAGAGCTGGAATTGGGAGTTGAGACCGTGTCCGGTTCGGTCGGGCCGTCGGGGTGGGAAAAGGATCGGCCTTTATCACAGGACAAAAGCCGAGATTCTTTCCCGACAGTTCACACGGCTGGAATTTGGCTGTAAGTGGGTTCCCAGGTCAAATATTTTCTTAGTATATAGTGTTAAAGAGTTAGTCAAACTTATTTTATTTGGACTAACTCTAGAATTATTTTAGGGTAAATTACGCATTTAATACTTAGACTATCTTAGTATCTAAATTTTCAAATTTTTTAAAATCATATTTAATGTTTAGTTTTCATTTCATTATAGTACCTCCATTAAAAACTTAACGTCTTTATTACCTAAACTATTAGTTTTTATCCGTTTTAGTACTTAAACTTTTAAAATTTTCAAAACTTAATGTTAAATTTTGAACGATGATACTAAAATGAAACAAAACTAAAGTTTTTAAATGAGGGGTACTAAAATAAAAAAAAGTAAACTTTAGGTATATTTTGAAAATTTTAAAAGTTTAAGTACTAAAACGGATCAAAATTGATAGTTTAAGTATTAAACGCATAATTTACCCATTATTTTAATCACGAGAAAGATAAAAAGGAAAAGTGAGATTAACAGAGTATCGAAATTTGTATTTGCAAAATTTTAATCGATAATATACAAATAGATTGGCTGATAATCATAATATATTTAGATATATGACTTTAATATAATAATACTTAAAAGATAAATTATAAATTTCATCCCTCATTCTTTTTCATTATTTTCTTGGTCATTGAACTTAATTTTTTTTAGTTTACTTACTAAACTTTTGATTTGTTACTATTTGTTTTTATTATTTCGTCATTAATTACTTAATGATATTATAACTTGACGTTTTTCTTTTAAAAATTATGAAACCATTCCAAAAATTTCTTTATTTTTGTAAAAAAATTATAGTTGTGAATCTCTTTTGATTTCTCGATGATGATGCATCTTCTTCCAAATATCAACGGCGGGGAGGTGACGGAGGAGAAAGTGATCTATATATCTAAATTCCATGTTGATCGAAAGATGAATATTATAGATTATATTGGTTTGGGTTTCATGAGTTTTATTTTAGGATTGAGTTTTATGAGTTTTAAAGTGATTCAGATAAAATCTAAACTAATAGAGTGATAATGAGACAACTAGGTGAGTTTATCGATATCTTGAATGATCGAATAAGATACCGAAAATTGTAATTGCAGCGTCGTTGTGACACATGCATGAAACTTGAAAATTTTCATATACGGAGGAAGAAGATGAAAAAAGAAGTAAAATAGAAAATGACATGGATGACACATGGATTCCATGTCAATAAAAAGTAGTCTACATCATCATGTCTGATTGACATGTCACCATTCTATTTATGATTTAATACTCGACTAATTAAAATAAGAACAAATAAAAAATTAATGAGTAAAATAAAAGTTTTAGAATATAATGACTAAAATATAAGTATAAAAAATTAAAGATGAAATTTATAATCTACCTGTACTTAAAAAATTAAATGATAAATTATGCGTCTATCCAGGGATGGACTGAAGGTGGGTGGGGGCAGGCGCCCCTGAAATTTTAAAATTACTATATATTTTCTATTGAAAATTTGTTTTCACCTCCTGGAGTTTTAAAAGTTGAAGTTCGCCCCCTAACATAGAAGCATGCGTCCGTCCATGCGTCTATCACCTAAATTATTAGTTTTAGTACTTAAAGTTTAGTTTTTGTTTCATTTTAGTATCCCGTTCAAAATTTAACGTTAAATTTTGATTTTTTTTTGTTGAAAATTTAGGTACTAAAAAGAACTAAAATTGATAGCTTAGGTACTAAACACGCTAAATTTTTAAGGATACGATACTAAAATAAAAAAAATTAAATGTTAAGTATTGTTTAAAAAAAATTAAAATTTAGGTACTGAATAAAACTTATTAAAATCCGATAATTTAAATACTAAATGCATAACCTACCAAAAATCAAAATAGAGTAGTAAAATCAGAATTGAAATCCAAACATGCATGACAAGACTCGGGGTTAGATACTCACAATTGCTGACCTCAAACGTTTGCCGACATAACTAATATCTCGTATCATTCACCGTCGACAGAGCTGTTTATATTCCAATTCTATTATGAGCTTTAAGCTTCAAAGAATATTGAGTGCAATATTCTAAGAAGAAAGTGTACGATGATCATAGTGAGGTAGCTCAAGAATCTATTGATGTCAAGTCGGACGATTGCATTCAATCATGTAATGGGTGGAGACAAATTTTGCTGCCCGTGAGATAAGGATATACAATTACGTCAAGGCATCGCATGTTTTTGATCATTTCCTTTGAATTTGTTTCCTCGTTCCTGCGGTCGTTTCAAACTTGATGGCTTCATTTTTCAAACTTGATGGCTTCGTTCATCATCGATCCAGACATTTAAGAAGGGTAAACTTGATAAGCACAATAGTTTTGATGGTTCACTTATGGAGCCTGAACAGACACTAGATGGATCCGGCTGGGTGATCCGTGGGATATGCAGATAAGAGGGAAGATGGGTTTGAGAGAAGAAAACATATAAAAAGGGTAAATTAGAACTTTACCCCTAAATTACTTTTAATTTATAAAATCGTCCCTAATTAATATTTTATCTAAAATTCAGGGGTTAAAGTAAAAAATTAAATCTTATACTAACGTGCCATGTCATCAAACTAACGGAGGTTAATGTCTCAGTGACCACATCTTAATTAAAATGAAACAAAAGTGACCACATATTAACTTTTTTAGATCGACCGATCATACGTTTATAAAATTGAAACAAAAGTGACCAACTCTGTAGTTTACCCATTTAAGAATGGATCCAAAATTTTAATTTCCTTTCTTTAAAAATAATGGATATGTAATTTCCTTTCTTTTCATGTAAAATCTGCTTGATTTAGACCGGGAGAATCATACGGTTTTATGAAACCACATGTATATGGCTAGAATCCGTAGTAAATCCTATTTCCGATAGGAGTAGTTCACAATTGAATCCAACTTTTTTCATTATTTTCGTATTTGTAATAGTGTGAAAAGAAAGCATAGCTCCAAGTTGTTCAAGAATAGTGGCGATGTTGAGTTTCTCGATCCTTTGACTTAGGATTAGTTAGTTCTATTTCTTGATTGGGGCAGAGAAGGGATATAACTCAGCGGTAGAGTGTCACATTGACGTGGTGATGACGTTCGAACATGATAATCCCTAAACCCAATGTGAGTTTTTTTTGTTTGCCTAGGGGCCAAGTGCATCCACCCCTGCTCTCCACAGCCTTATTTTAAGACGAGGAAAGACAAAACCTAAAATGTTCAAAATATAAAATAATTTAAGGTACGTGAAATTTAAAATATTATTTTTTTAATATTTTCGATTCAACCGCTAAAACCAAAAATGTTATAAAAAATGTATGCAACCGAAAATTTTAAGGAAAATTTAACATTTTAGGTTCCGCGAAACCTAAAATGTTACGCTTTTTAACATTTTAGGTTGCGCATTTCCCTAGTCTTAAATTAGCTTGCCGTCTCTTAGACTTTCCCACCGTGGCGAAATTTGAGATAAAATTTGGGGGCCCAACGTAAAATTTTAAAATTTTCAGAGGTTAAATTAAAATTTTTAAATTTTTTGAAGGTTTTAGTTTACATTTTTCCCCCAAAAAAATAAGGTCTAACTAAAACTTTTGAAAATTTGAGAGACTTAATGAGATTTTTTAGAAATAATGGGAGGGGGTTTAATCAAGAACATTCAAAAAATTTAAAGTTTAATATGATTTTTAAAAATTTTGGAGGGGCCAAATTAAATTTTTGAAAATTTTAAAGGTCTACATTGTAATTTTAAAAATTTTGGGGGGCCATGTCCCCACTAATCCATCTTACCTTCCGCCACTGCTTCCCCAGTAGCTCCCTCCACCTTTATATATTCCAATGTATTTCCACAATTTTGTTCATCTTTCTTCGTTCTTCACCCTCATCTTTCTCATTTCACAAATCTCAGATTTTCTGTCATTTGTTACGAGGTAAGGTTTATTTTTCCTAACTTTAATTTCTTTGCATTTTTTATTTCTTAATTTTCTTATTGTAGTCTGTATATATTGACATAAAATTAAGGGTAAAGTGCGTAAATGGTCATCTGACTATAGAATGTTATTTTTTTATGTCCCTCGATTATTAGAAGTTACAAAATGATCCTCCAATTATAAAGTGTTGCTTTGTTGAGTGCATCAACTATTAAAAGTTACAAAATGATCACCCGACTATTCATTATGTTCTGAACTCGTTTTTTCGGTTAAAAATATAGACGGTATCCTGAGTTGAACGTTAACATGTTGACTGTGATATGATAAAATATGATCCCAGAATCTCAAACGACTATCATATCTCAGTCATCATGTTAACGTTTAGCTTAAACAATTGTCAATTTTTTAACGGAAAAAGACGAGTTTGGAACATAATGAATAGTTGGTGATCATTTTGTAACTTTTAATAATCGAGTGACTTAAAAAAGTAACATTCCATAGTTGGATGACAATTTTATAACTTTTAATAGTAGAGGGATTTAATAAAACAATACCCTATAGTCGGAGTACCATTTATATACTCTAAAATTAAATAATTTTATATATAACTCATAAACTCCTCGTACACCGTGAGGGGCAAAGTCAAGAAATTTCTATTACAGTTAAGATTTAATTGTAAAATTATTTGATCGTTAAGGGGCAATTTAATCATTTTATCAACTAAAAACTTCATAATTTTAGAAACTAAAAGAATAATTTATTTATTAGATAATCATTTTATCACAGTATATAATTGAGCCAATTGCAACATATGTCCCCAAACTATGACCCTTATTTCAAATTGATCCTTAAACTTTTAAATTAGTCCTTAAACTTTTGACTATCATTCTAATTTTGTCCCCAAACAATGACTCTTATTTTAAATTATGACTATTATTTCATCCCCAAACTATGACTCTCATTCTAAGTTAGTCCTTAAATTTTGAATCTTTCAATTTCATCCTCAATTTCATCCAAATATGTAATTAGTTTCAAATGCATCCTCTAGCATAAATTTTATGCATTCGTTTCTACATACAATTTTTTACCATTAACTTTTAAAACAGTACGTGAATAATCTATCTATTCTATTTAATAAATTAAAATATATAATTAAAATAATATTTATAATTTTGAAATAAATTACGGACTGTGATTTAGATTAACTTTTTGTGCAGGACATGGCTTCAGACGACGGAATTACCATATCTGTAGAAGTGCCACCGTCAGCACCTGCGCCAGTGGCTACGGAAGATTCTGCACCTGCGTCAGTTGCTACGGAAGAACCTGCAATTCCGCCTGTGGTGCAGCCTATAAGTTCATCCAGGGGAAAGACTAAAACATCTCGAGCTCTTAGCATGTTCAAGGTATTTGAAAAAGCATACGTCATAAATCACGAATTAACTTATTATTATTTTTCTTTATAAATTAAGAAATTACTTATTGATGCTTTTGTGCAACTGATGGCTTTAGGAGACATGTTGTATGCATAGAGTGCCTCATCGACTACGTCAAGTAAACAAAAAAGCCTATGAACCAAATGTGATTTCAATTGGTCCTTACCATCGTGGAAAGCCACACTTGGCCCCGATGGAAGTCATTAAAGAACGTTGCTTTTGGGAGGTTGCTGAAGAAACCAACCGTGGCATGGTGGAATTTGAAAGCGAAATGACACCGTTTGAAAATGAAGCCCGCAAATGCTATGAAGAACCTCTTGACTTACCATCTCAGAAATTTGTGCAAGTGATGATCTTCGATGGATGTTTCATTGTTCAGCTGATTCGAAAGGTTTATCCAGGGGGTATTTTTAAGGTGGGGCGAATTCAAGCCGACATTCGCAATGATTTGTTACTGCTTGAAAATCAGCTTCCTTTCTCTGTGCTCTTCAAGTTGTACCAAATGATAGTGCCAGAACCCGGAGAAATCAAACAATTCGCTGAGTTGACTCTTTATTTCTTTGAGTTGTCTCACCGTCGCTTACCCGAGAGAGATTTTATCCATCTGCTAGACATAGTACACAGTACTTACCTTCCCTCGGCTCGAGGAATAGAACAACACCAGGTTTTTAAAGCACAAGCAGAAGCAGAAGCAGTAGCAGAACCGAATTCCCAACGCTCGTGGAAGTTCATACGTAGCGCAACGGAGTTGGAAGACTCGGGAATCGGTTTCTTTGGCGCCAGTGTTGAGAAGATGAGAGTCGAGAACCAAGGGGTAGAGCTAGAGATATTTGATATAATGTTTACATCAGATACCAAAGTATCGAGGATTCCAACTTGTATCAAACTAGGTACCAAAGTACTGTGGATTCCAACTCCTATCACACTAGATACCAAAGTACTGAGGATTCCAACCTTACAAGTTGATGACTCGACGGAGCGCCGATTACGCAATTTCATGGCCTTTGAACAATTCTTCCCCGTCGAGAAACCGACTTATTTCGTCGATTACGTGGTTTTCATGGATAACCTCATCAACACAGGCAAGGATGTGCAGCTACTCTGCAAGAGTGGAGTTCTTGACAACTGGTTGGGAGATGATGAAGTAGTTTCCCAAATGTTTAACAAGCTCCGAGAATCCATTTACATGTCACGGGACTTCTACTATGCTGAGATATTTTGTAAGGTGAACAAGCATTGCGAGATAAAATTGAACAGATGGATGGCGACACTGAGCAAAGATTATTTCAATACTCCTTGGTCATTCATATCATTTGTTGCGGCGGTTTTCTTGATCTTGCTTACCCTAACACAAACCATATTTTCAGTCCTTTCATATTTTTAATCAGTAAGATTGTTAAATTTAATATTTCCCTTAAAATAACGAGTGTGCAACGACTTACAATAAAACTATGTATATCAGCCGTTGGTTGTTATACTTTCGTCTCACCTTAAATCCTAGCAGTTCATTTAAACAATATAATCACTAGTAATGCCAGTTGGACGGATCCAATATAAATGGTGAGACAAACACGAGTATAACTAGGGGTGATTACCGAGTTGAGCAATTGGAATTCGACTCTGTCAAAATCCAATAAAAACTCGACTCGAGACCTTAACGAGTTGAATCGAGCAAAGTTCAACTAGACTCGATAAGTTCGCCAACAACTCGTTAATTTTTTTATTAACTTTTAATAGTTATCTTAAAAAATTATTTGGTTCATAAAATTACTAATTTGTTAATAGATAATAAAAAATGATAAATTATTAATCTATTAATTTTCTAATAGATAATTAAATATATTAAAGGGTAACCTACATAGGTGACCACTCAACTATTGTCAAAAATCATTTTGACCACCGATGTTTCAATTTGATCAAACTGACCATCCAACTATCTAAATGCTTCAATAAAGCCACCCACCATAAAACAGTTAACGGAACAAGTGACGTGGCAGTTAAAAACATTTTGGTATAATTACATAATTGGTCAATGTTACTTATATATTCTTTCAATTTAGTCATCATTTTAATAAATTAAAATAATGACACATGTCATCATTCGATTAGATGACTAAAATTAATTTTGTTTTTTTTAATTTAATAATTTTATCTTTCCTCGAATTAGAGGGTGACATCTAAGAAATTAAACCAGCATTTAACGAGGGCTTTAAGGATTTGAACCATAAACCAATGGTTGGGACAGAAAGCATCAAACCATTGGGCCAAAGCATGAACTTTGGATAACTTTGTACAACAAATAATATATATTTTCCATCTTAGTAAATTTTTCTTTATACAACAAATAATATAATTAATAAATAAAAATTAAGAATATTTTTACATTAATAAAAAAATATAAATATATAAAACATATTAATATTTTTTAGTTAATATTTAATATTATATATTTATTAATATGTATTTATTAATATAATACGAATAGTAATTTTTTGTTAATATAAATATTATTTATATATTTGTATTTTTATTAATTTAAAAAATATTCTTAATTTTTATTTATTAATTATATTATTTGTTGTATAAAGAAAATTTTAGTAAGATGTAAAATATATATTATTTGTTGTACAAAGGTAACCAAATGGATGCATTGACCCAATGGTTTGGTGCTTTCTATCCCAAGTAAGGGGTCACCCTCCGATTGGAAGAAATACCACGTCAGCTGTTCCGTTAATTGTTAACGGCGGGTGGCTTGATTGAATCATTTAGATAGTTAGATGGTATGTATGATCAAATTGTAACATCGATGGTCAAAATAATTTTTTAACATAGTTGAGTGGTCACCCGTGTAGTTTACCCTATAGTAAATTACTAATTAGTCATTAGTATCTTACTACACCAAAAAATTAAACTCTGTTATTATTTTAATGTATTTATGAATTATTATTTTGATGTTTAGACTTTGAATTTGTTTCATACTCTTTTGATAATTATTTTGTTTAATTTATTAATTTATTTTTATAAAGTTTTATATAGTATGAATAGATTTTACTTACAATTAAAAAATAAAATAAAAATTTTGATAAACTTAACGAGCAACGATTCCTACTAACAAATTTTCTTAACGAGAACCAGTCTACTGCCCAACTCGCGATCTACTCGCTTGATAACTACCACTAAGTATAACATTGTATACGCTCTATCTCCATCTATTTTATATCATCTTTACATCTAAAATTTATATAAAGAATTATTTTTAAGGGTAAATTACACATTTAATACCTAAACTATCAGTTTAATTTGTTTTAGTACCCAAACTTTCAATTTTTTTAAAACCATACCTAAAGATTAGTTTTTATTTCATTTTAGTATCTCGTCGTTAAAAACTTACATATTTAGTACTTAAAATATCAGTTTTGATCCGTTTTAGTACATAAATTTTTAAATTTTTTTCAAAACTTAAGCATGATTTAGGTACTAAACGTGTTTTGATACATATACTTTCTTTTTTTAAAAAACTTAACGATGGGTACTAAAATAAAATAAAAATTAAACTTTAGGTAATTTTTGAAAAAAAATAAAAATTTAAATATTAAAATAGATCAAAAGTAATAGTTTATATACTAAATTCGTAGTTTACTCATTTGATGAATGAGATTGATAACATTATTTTCCCCACAAATTAACATTATGGCTAGTCCGGGATCAGAGAGTCTTCAAATTTTGAGCCCACAATGATCGTTGATCCACGACAAAATAGTCGGCCGAGATTCGTTCTTCCCATGAATTCGCCACACAGGATTCGACCACCATCCAACTCAACTCGATTACATTCTCACTCCCCGAGCTCCGGTTCTTTATTCATCCCATAGAAGAAAAAACACCTGAAGGAAGAGAAGTAATACGGTGCGCCGCCAGAATCCGACACCAGAAAACGAAAAAGCCAAAAAAAATATTCCTGCGATTGGTCGCCCGGCCGTTGTTGGCGAAGGTGAAAGACACGACGGGGATCGTTGGATTGGACGTTGTTCCCAACGCCAGGGAAGTCCTGATCGGACTCTACAGCAAGACCCTTAAGGAGATCCAGACCGTACCCGAAGACGAGGGCTACCGCAAGGCCGTGGAGAGCTTCACGCGCCACCGTCTGAAGGTCTGCCAAGAGGAAGAAGACTGGGAAATGATCGAGCAACGCCTCGGATGCGGCCAGGTCGAGGAGCTCATCGAGGAAGCGCGTGATGAGCTCACTCTTATTGGGAAAATGATCGGTTCGTACCCTTTTATCGTTTGTTAATTGTTATGTCATTTTTGGGTTCGATCTTTGTTTATGATCGGTTTAGCCTTCCTTCAAGCAAATTTGGTTAAATTATAGCTGGTTATTTCTTTGCTCAACTAAGGCTGCCTATGAGAAATGATTAATTTTGTTAATAAGAAGGTATTAGAATTGCTTAATCCTAATCGAACAATTTGCATGGAATTTGAATGAATTTGATGTGAAAGTATAATAGAAATCAAATTTGCATCGGCTGAGAATAACAAGTTGGTGGTTAAAATCGAACTGGTTGCTCGTTTTTGGAAAGGGAGGTATTATGCTTTCATTATCATTGAGATTTGAGACTAAATTCATCTTTTTTCCATGAGGTTAACACATCCAAATTGCTTAATCATTATGCTTATCGATCAACTCAATCTTCAAAACTTGCTTTATTTAGATACGAACCCTTACTTTGCAAGCATTAGACTGATGTTAATGTGTGTTGTTCTTCTGGTCTAGCATCGGCACGGTAGTTTTTTTAGTTGTCCTCGGCATATAGGTAGTTTCTGGTAACTCATATTCATAATTTATCAAGTCATTTACTTTTAGTCGCGGTCATCAATGATTCTGGTCTACATTGTGTCAGGGTGTTTTTATGTTGTTGTTATTATGTTGGTTGGCACTCTTACAGCTGTTTGATGAGCTTTAATCTGTTCTCTAGAGTCCAGTAAAGTCTTCCTCTGTTGCTACCTAAACCCTTTATAAGAAGTAAAATTGCTAGAAAACTTCTGATGCTTTGCATTTTCTGAATAATGAATGACATTCCATTCTATATCATGTTGGTTGCAGAGTGGGATCCTTGGGGTGTTCCCGATGACTATGAATGTGAGGTTATCAAAAACGATGCTCCAGTTCCCAAGCATGTTCCACTGCACCGTCCTGGTCCACTCCCAGAGGAGTTCTACAAGACACTCGAAGCCCTTTCTGAAAAGGATGAGCCTAAAATCACCTCCGGGGAGCCACAGATAATATAGTAAGCATACTGAAGCGTTTTGGCTAGAGACACTTAGGTTTTCAAAGTCGAATATTGCATTTTTCTAATCATCCTTTTGTTTATGCTTTTCTTTTTCTTTTCAATCCTGTATTGCCCCTGTTCTTTGATGAATCAGAGCTTAAACCCTAAAGACAAAAGCTGGAATCATTAAGCTGCTAATAATGTTAATATACTTGGGGTCCTCTCAGCTATTTTTCTCCATCCTTCATAAATTTATATAAATTTATCCTTTTTCATTTATTATTCTTTAGCTAGACATTATTCGATGATTTAAGCATGGCCTCGCTCGATTCTATTTTCTCATAAATTTCATTTGGCTGAGGATTTGATCTTTCCCCTGCAACAAAGAGATGAACTTTGCTCCAAATCTCCACCCAGCTCTGGCTAGGATTCTTCCCTCAATTGTTTTCTCTCATCACCTTGAGTGTCCTATCAATTAGGTCACGTCGACCGGAGTCCTTGTACAAGTTTGCTATCAGTATATAGAATGCTTGAACTGATGGATCGAGTTCAAGGCCTCGTTTTGCCATATCATCGGCTAGAGGTGTATTTTTATGTCTTTTCAGGCTTGCGGTAATGTCTTGTAGATCAAAGTAAAACCTGCAATCACAGTGGTCGACGAGATGACATTTGGTAAGCTCATTCCTCTAAATACTCACGACGCATCATCGACTTCCCCTATCACCTTCGAGTGAACCTGTTGCTCAAGTTCTAAGCTTCAACACATGAAGAGGTCATCATTGTCCAAGAAACAATATCATGATTTCCCTTATCAATGAACAACTTAGAAGCTTCACCTATTGAATCAATTTTGGAGTAAAAAATCAATCAAACCACTGACCATAACCAGGCTCTGATCAATCCCTTGCTTTATCGTAGAACATTGACTGCAAATCCCATACTCAAAGTTCAACGCGAGCGCAGCACGCTTGACATCGTAAACTCATCCGAACATTGATATTAGCATCGCAGTCCGAGTCTTTTTTGCGGCATTTCGTCGAAGAAATGGCGTGCTTTGTCCACTCCAAAGCATTTGGCACGGAGACACGAGGGTGTTGTTAAACTGCAAGTGGTGTTGAAGACCCATTTTTATTATAGGACTGTGAATGTATATATACGTTCTTTGAAAGAGTTGGAATTGCAAAATGACTCGAAAATGTTTCTTCCAAAAGAACAAATATCAGTTGCATGGAAAGTAATTCTTTGCAATTTCGAATTGCTGCTTATTCAGGGCAGGAGCTGTCTTGTTTATGAGATAATAATAGATTCGTTGTTGGTCCAGGGAGCAACTAGCTTAAGTGCTGATAATATCTGTATCAAAAGCTCCAAGCTATTTGATAATGATCGTTTAAATATTCTATAGTAGCTAGTGCCTGAACCTGATATATCTAAGGATAAAAACCATCCTTTTAAATACTAAAGTAATTAATAAGGTCGTTTTGTTCGGGTAATTCTAATTAAATATTTAATTATAAAAAAATTACATACCGTATTATAAAGTATTCACATTGGATACCAAAAATCATACCTTTTCTTTTTATTGCTTGATGAACTTTACCGTGCATGCAAGCAAGGAATATACACATTAATTACTCCCCTTTTTGCAAATGTTAAGCTTAATCAAACTACCTTAATTATTAAAGAAATAATTGTTATTTTTAGAGGTTTCATGTTCGAGAACCTGAATTTTAAAAATTTTAGAGGGGCCAACGTTAATTTTAAAATTTTCAGAGGTTGAAATTAAAATTTTTGGAAGGTTTAGTTTACATTTTCCCCCAAAAAATTAAGGTCTAACTAAAACTTTTGAAATTTTGAGAGACTTAATGAGAATTTTTAGAAATTATGGGAGGGGTTAATCAAGAACATTAAAATATTTTAAAGTTTAATATGATTTTTTAAAAATTTTGGAGGGGTCAATTTAATTTTTTTTTGAAAATTTTAAAGGTCTACATTGTAATTTTATAAATTTTGGGGGGCCATGTCCCCACTAATCCCTCTTACCTTCCGCCAATGCTTCCCCAGTAGCTTCCTCCACCTTTATATATTCCAATGTATTTCCACAATTTTGTTCATCTTTCTTCATTCTTCACCCTCGTCTTTCTCATTTCTCAAATCTCAGATTTTCTGTCATTTCTTACGAGGTAAGGTTTATTTTTCCTAACTTTAATTTCTTTGTATCTTTTATTTCTTAATTTTCTTATTGTAGTATGTAAATATCGACATAAAATTAAGGGTAACGTGCATAAATGGTCCTCTGACTATAAAATGCTACTTTTTTATGTCCCTTGATTATTAGAAGTTACAAAATGGTCCTTCAATTATAGAGTGTTGCTTTGTTGAGTCCATCGACTATTAAAAGTTACAAAATGGTCACCGACTATTCATTATGTTACGAACTCGTCCTTTTTGTTAAAAAATAGACGATATTCTGACCTGAATGTTAATATGTTGACTGTGATATGATAAAATATGATCCCCGAATCTCAAACAACTATCATATCTCAGTCATTATGTTAACGTTTAGCTTAAACAATTGTCAAATTTTTAACGGAAAAAGACGAGTTCGTAACATAATAAATAGTTTAGTGATCATTTTGTAACTTTTAATAGTCGATGGACTTAAAAAAGGTAGCATTCCATAGTTGGATGACAATTTTATAACTTTTAATAGTAGAGAAATTTAATAAAGCAATACTCTATAGTCGTAGGACCATTTATATACTTTACCCTAAAATTAAATAATTATATATATATAACTCATAAACTCTTCATACACCGTGAGGGGGCAAAGTCAAGAAATTTCTATTAGAGTTAAGATTTAATTGTAAAATTATTTGAGCGTTAAGGGGCAATTTAATCATTTTATCAACTAAAAACTTCATAATTTTAGAAACTAAAAGAATTTATCTATTAGATAATCATTTTATCACACTATATAATTGAGTCAATTGCAACATATGTCCCCAAACTATGACTCTTATTTCAAATTGATCCTTAAACTTTTAAATTAGTCCTTAAACGTTTGACTATCATTCTAATTTTGTCCCCAAACAATGACTCTTATTCTAAATTATGACTATTATTTCATCCCCAAACTATGACTCTCATTCTAAATTAGTCCTTAAATTTTGAATCTTTCAATTTCATCCTCAAATTCATCCAAATATGTAATTAATTTCAACTGTAGTTTAACCTAAATTTTATTTTTTTCAAATATATAATAATATTTTTTTTTTCAAATATATGAATTCATCAAAGAAGTTTGGGGACTAATTTAGAATGAAGATCATAGTTTGGGGATGAAAATGAAATATTAAAAAATTTGAGGACTAATCTAGAATGACAGCCATAGTTTAAGGATGGAATTGAAATATTTAAAAGTTTAGGGACTAATTTAGAATTAGAGTCATAATTGAAGGATGTATAATGCAATTAACTCTAAATAATTCCTTCAAAATGTTACATACAAATTTTTACCATTAACTTTTAAAACGGTACTTGAATAATTTATTTATTTTGTATAATAAATAATAATGTATCACTAAAATAATATTTATTATTTTAAAAATAACACAAATCAAACCATCTCAGTTGTAAAAGAATTGTTGTTGCTCAATAAGGTCTTAAATTCCAATACCATAAATATTAAAAATATGAATATTTAATATCAAATGATTGAAAGTAATCATTTATCATAGATAACTATCAATATGTTTAATTAGTTCATAATAGTGGTGTAAGAGTATCCGATGCATGCTTTTACACAGGGAAACGGTTTTATCACAATATATAATCCATACATAATGTTACTCATAGTGGATCGAGAGGTGGATAGAAACGGTTATTTCTTCTAAAAATTTAAAAAAAATTATATATTTTAATTTTTATATTTTCTATTAAAAACTTATTTTTACTCTGTCAAAATTGTATAAATTCGTTCTCCCTTAAAATTTATAGGTGTTTATGCATTCATTTCTATATACAATTTTTTACCCTTAACTTTTAAAACGGTACGTGAATAATCTATCTATTCTATTTAATAAATTATAATACATAATTGAAATAATATTTATAATTTTAAAAATAAATTACAGACTATGATTTAGATTAACTTTTTGTGCAGAACATGGCTTCAGACGACGGAATTACCATATATATGTAGAAGTGCCACCGTCAGCACCTGAGCCAGTGGCTACGGAAGAGTCTGCACCTGCGTCAGTTGCTACGGAAGAACCTGCACTTCCGCCTGTGGTGCCGCCTATAAATTCATCCAGGGTAAAGACTGGAACATCTCGAGCTCTTAGCATGTTCGAGGTTATTGAAAAAGCATACGTCATAAATCACGAATTAACTTATTATTTATGTTTTTCTTTCTAAATTAAGAAATTACTTATTGATGCTTTTGTGCAACTGATGGCTTTAGGAGACATGTTGCATGCATAGAGTGCCTCATCGACTACGTCAAGTAAACGAAAAAGCCTATGAACCAAATGTGATTTCAATTGGTCCTTACCATCGTGGAAAGCCACACTTGGCTCCGATGGAAGTCATTAAACAACGTTGCTTCTGGGAGGTTGCTGAAGAAACCAACCGTGGCATGGTGGAATTTGAAAGCGAAATGACACGGTTTGAAAATGAAGCCCGCAAGTGCTATGAAGAACCTCTCGGCATACCATCTAAGAAATTTGTGCAAATGATGATCTTGGATGGATGTTTCATTGTTCAGCTGATTCGAAAGGTTTATCCAGGGGGTATTTTTTAAGGTGGGGCGAATTCAAGCTGACATTCGCAATGATTTGTTACTGCTTGAAAATCAGCTTCCTTTCTTTGTGCTCTTCAAGTTGTACCAAATGATAGAGCAAGAACCCGTAGAAATCAACCAATTCGCTGAGTTGACTCTTTATTTCTTTGAGTTGTCTCACCGTCGCTTACCCGAGAGAAATTTTATCCATCTGCTAGACATAGTACACAGTACTTACCTTCCCTCGGCTCGAGGAATAGAACAACACCGGGTTTTTAAAGCAGAAGCAGAAGCAGTAGCAGAGCCGAATTCCCAACGCTCGTGGAAGTTCATACGTAGCGCAACAGAGTTGGAAGACTCTGGAATCGGTTTCTTTGGCGCCAGTGTTGAGAAGATGAGAGTCGAGAACCAAGATGAAGAGCTAGAGATATTTGATATAAT